TTAAGAGGCTCTCAAAGGACAAGGTATGTCCACAAAAGTGACCCTTACCCTTTCTCTTCTTTAGATGCAATAAGGGCTTGCACTATAGTTTAAAGATTTTGTTGCCTGAACTTTTCTGACACAATGCGCTCTATAGCTAAAAGCGTTTATTTTTTTCCGAACTTGTTATAGAATATTATTTCTCAGATTTTTATTTGTTCTTCCTCCTCACTTCTTACCTCATTTCAGGTATTGTTTTTCCTTGTACATTTAAAAACATTTGGACTGATGATGCGCCTAACAACGGTTAGCGAAGCTACACAACTTTTGCAAATCGACATGTCTGGACCTACCTTTCCGTATAAACAAACCTATCTAAGTTCAGACATGGTGCAATTTAAAAAGGGAAGACCGGTCTATGTTTCTACTCCCCACTTTTCAAACGTTACTTATAAGATATACTTATTAAGAAGACTAAAAAAAGGTGCACTGTTTGATCTGATTTCCTGACATTTCCACCAAAGTACTATTCCTAGTACTGCTCTTATATGACTAGCTTATGGCTGATTCGAAAGCCACGGGCATTGGATAGATTTTGGTCCGTTTGTGTACTTCCCCGCGTCTAGAATTGAAATATTTGAATGAATGGTCAATCGATGTTCGAGTGCATGACTTGCAATCAACTGATCAGATTATTATTATTATTATTTTCACAATTCGAGCATTTCACATCCACTTTCATGGCGCGGGCTTAGCTGACTAGCGGTTTATGGACTCCATAAACGAGACGCATAATCATAAAGTCCGCAACGCATTCGCAAATACCGATTATAATCTTTATTTTCTGCCCAAGCGCACCCAAGCACCAGCCATCAAATCAGAATCAGTATCTGAACAGGAAAAAAAAAAAATGAATAAAAGCGGAAGAGGGGCATGCTCAGGATTCGGTTACAAATTTAAAGCCGTTGACGACTGTTGACAGACATCTGACATGACGGAGCGGTCGCGTGTGTGCCCCTCTGTGTATGTGTATGTGTGTGTGTGTGTGTGTTGATCGTGCAACCTGATGATTTAATAAGTGCCAAATATGTATGTGTGCTTAAGGGCCCGCTGTTGAACGCCGGACAGCCGGCGGCTCTTTGAAGGCCTGAACGCCCGAAGGCATGAAGGGTTGCAAATTTAAGGACCAACAACAAGCAAATTTGTAAATACCTTGCGGGACAAAAACTAACCACCGGACGACTGAAGGCGAGATTGCATAATGGTTGTTGTTATTGCTGCTGTTGCTCTTGTTGTTGTTGTTGTAGTTGGTGGTGTTGTCAACACGATGACGATGTTGCCTATGGGGTGTCCATATCGCAGACTGAATGGGTGTGCGTGTGTGCAGCGTGTGTGTGATTGATGACAACTCGAATAAGCGATGATTGATGCTTATTTTACACTTTTCGTTACAACACACGGCGACACATGTTTATTTATATGTATGTGTGTGGACTCTCTATACCCTAACCAAGTGCCTTATGAACACAGTCTGCTGTTTGTGAAGCAGCGAAGCCGCTTATTGGGATCGATTGGGAAACAACAACTAGCCATTAGAGCCGCTAAAGATTCTTTTCATTTCCTGCCTAAAGAAAGACTAACATTTCAGATCCACATCTTAAAATCGAGGACTCCACGGATTATTTTAAATACTATATATATGTATCTGAACGCTAGAAATGTTGGTATTCTGAGCAGGGCTTTCGTTTTCAGAGCTCTCTGATTTAACATTTCGAAACACATTAAATTAGAGCTTATCTGTAACGAGAAATTATCTAGGCTTTACAAAAATGTAAATAAATTTGAAAAAAAATTTTTTTTTCTCTCCCCAACAGACATCTCTAGTGTCTAGTTTTAATAACATCACATCACTTTTTTTAAGTAGAGAATAAAATATAAAATTGAAAAATAGTTCGAGATTGTACTGCAATGTTTAAATTTCAAGAAATCAGTATATCTAATTGGTTCACCTCAATCCTCCACGGCAAATTAATTCCAATAGCCCGTTTTTAGTTATAAGAACTTTTGCAGAGCATAAAGGTTACGGCATGGGCTTGACTTTCAGGCATCCTCATTGCTCTTTCTACGCTTATATCGGGATTATTATGAGCACACGTCTCCAAGCGTCTCCAGACGACGACAATGCCAGCAGCAACAGCAACAGCCATAGCAACAACAACAACAACAACAACAACAGCAGGAGCAGGAGCAGCAACGCCGGCACAACTTCCATATTAGCGTTACCCGAGCCGCAATCATCAATGTCAACGTGCCCAGACACATGCGCCATGGCAGCCAGAACGGGTGGGAATCTCTGTTAGTGTATTAGTAATTGTTTGAATTTCCTTATGCGTGCACGTGTGTCTCTGGTGTGTGTGTGTGTGGATGTGGGTGTTTACTATGTGGGAAGGTGTTTTTGTGGTTTGGTTATTGATACGATGCAATACATCATCGACAACGGCGCCGGCGACACTGACTCCTCGCAAAAAAAGAACTTTGCATAACATGCCCGCAGCCAGGGCCAACCTTTCCCACATCTCTCCTCATCTCCCCATGGTCCTGTCCAACCACACCATAACCCCATAACACCTTAAAGAGCAGCAGCATTAGTAGCAGCATCAACAACAACAACAGCAGCAACAATACTAAAGACTAAAAGGCAAAGATTGTCAGCAAGCGCTAAAGTTCTGTTGCTCTTTCTTCAGCAGTTTGAGCAAAATAGAGATATTCGAGAAAATTTAGTAGCAGTACTTACTACTCAGGTGTTGATTTCGAATCTAATTGCATTATTTTCATGCTCAGTACCAACTTGTTGATCACACACGACGTCACACTGAGACCTAGCTCCGAATTAAGCAGCTCCATAGTTATTTGAGTAGGTACATATATGTATATAGTGCCTCACAAGCTCAATTCTTGTCAAAAGAACAAGTCGCCTTTGTTTCAACACAGGGACCGCAAATATTCATTATTTTGTTTTTTTTTTTTAACGAAAAAATCATTCACTTATACTAAGTAACTTTAAGAAAGCGAGGAGTTTACAGATATCCTTTTTTAATGTTTGCCTTGACTTACTGATATCTAAATTTTGTCCTTAATCCTTATAAAAAGACAAGCTGTACTTGAGTTTTAGTTTTGATCAAAAATATAAAACTCAAAGCATAGTCATTATTTTATAAGTTCTATTTTTTTTTGCTCATAAATAATGATTTTTGGTTCATTTTTAAAGTAACACTCAAAATCAATCATTAAATTATAGGCAAATGAATAAAATTATATTTATTTTGTAATTTTTTAATAGCACTTATAATGATTACAGTGCTTGTTGAAAAACCCACCAGATTATCAAATGTGATTGAAACTATTTTTATAGCAAAGAAGAATCAAGTTCCATAAAATGATGAAAATATATGATTTTTTTTTGTATTTTAGAAAACAATATTAAATTTTTATAAATGGAATAACCTTGTTTATGCATTAAAGCAAATCTGGAAGCAACGTTTATGACTCTTTCAACTTCCTCATCCAGACCACCGAGTTCAACAATGCAACTAAACCGACGAAAATAATATAAATTTAGAGCTAGTAATATCAAGCCGCCATACTTATATTCCAATTTTGGATATACAGGTTTATATGCAACATAAAACGTGTATCAAAGAAGACTGTCATTAGCGTTATGCAAGTACCGTAGAAATGGAACCTATTTAGTTAAGAGATAGAAGGGAGTAGATTGATGCAGTCGATTACTCACAATTGTGAGCAGGGTTGCATTTTATTTAAAAGCTAATAGTGATGGGGTCTGAGGCTAAAATGTTGGCAATTTGGGTTGTAAATCTGTAATCTGTAGTCAAGTACCATGGATTGTGTTTCGATAAATCGCGACAAAAAATCAATGAATCGATATCTTTTCCGCTTTTTATGTGAAATTTTAATATAGTTATAATTCTTGAGTCTGCGTAAAGTTTCCTTTTGCTTTTGAATTTCTTTAAAAATTAAGCTTTCGATGTTTTTGCACAAACATGGATGATCATCGATGTATCGAGTTCAAGCAAATTATCGAAAAAAATCGAGTAATCATTATCAAAACATCGACGGTGTTAAAAGAACCGATTTTTTGTGCAACCCTATTGCCAATCAACACTTTGTTTGGTAGTTCCCAGGCGGCCTTGGAGCGCAAGAAACAAATTGTGTATGTAACGATCTTTGTTGGAGCTTATACTCTGCTCTTCAGTCCCGCATTTACATGAAATTCGATTATTAAGGTGTAATCAAAATCGTTGAATAGTATGTTTAATGGGGAGGAAGAACTGTTCAACACTTTCCTTGCTCCACATTTATTCATTTATCAAAATACCACAAAAAGCTGTCTACGAATTCAAGGAAAGCAGCTGTAATGGACACACATTCATACATATGTATGTATGTATGTATGTATGTATGTATGGTAAATCGATTGTCAACATGAAGGTCTGTAATTGAGTGGGAGAGATATGGAGAGAGGGAGAGAAAAGACGAGCCTCTCAACAAACACATTCACGCGATGTTTCGTGAGAAAAACGCCTCGTGTAAATGCAAAACAAGTGCAAGTAAGGCGCCTACGCCTAAAATGATTGATTGATGGATGGATGTCAGCGGAGGGATTTGGATGTGGATATACGCATGTTTTAAAAATATGTTGAAGCAACAAAAAAATGTGAGTATGTATGGATTTTTATTCAATTTACAAATGTACGTTGGATTGCAAAAAAGCAAAAAAAAAAAAATAGATGAAAGGCCAAGCTTCGACTGCCTATGGACATGCACATGAGCCTCGGACCTGTAGATAATATTCAGCAACTGTTTGGCACATTTCGAGGTGACGAAGGACGTCATGCACGTGGACGGACTGCATCCTGGGCGCGTATGTAGAATATTTTGGCGGGCGCTGTGCGAGGCCGCGTCTGCGACTGGGACAGCGAGTCCGACTGTTCGAGACTTGCCAGCGGCCAGAGCTGTGGAGCAGAGCCCATGAGACATTAAGTAGAGTTGAGAATACCAGAAAAGAAGAAGACACGAGCCTACCTTTCTGTGCTGCCGACGAAAGCGCTGGCGACGCACCTGCGCCAACTTGCCGCTGGAGAGGATCGCGCGACTGCGTTGCTGCCAAGACTGCGAGAGAAACGCATTGAGCGTGTGTGTGGAGTGACAAAGGATAACAGATTTTGGGGCTCACCTGCATGTTGACATCGTACTTGATGCGCTGCAGCAGCGTTGTCGACTGCTGCAGCAGCTGCCGTTGCAGCCAATCCATGCCGCGCCACACGTCCGTTGCATCAGCGATCTCGGCCAAGTGGCAAAGGTGTAGGGGACAGCCGCAGCTGCGCGCTAGCGCTTCCAGGCCAAAAGCGTGCTCCACATCGTACAGCTGCACGCCTTCAGAGAGTCGCGTGGCCACCAGAAGCACCGCCTTGCCACGCAGAGCCTCGTGCCTCAGACAGCGTTGCAGGAGCTCAAAGGAGGCCTGCAGTTCGGCATAGCCGGCGGCCAGATTGAAGCAGTAGATGAGGGCATGGGTGCTGGCATAATAGTGCGGCCACAAACGTTGCATGTCCGCATTGCCACCAACCTCGGTCAGCGCCAGCTCCACATCCTGTGGCGCTCGTCGGCGACAACGATAGCAGCGCACCCCATTCGTCTGCTCCTGATCGTCAACATCGCGTGGCCGGCCACTCAGCAAGTGGCCCAACTCCGTTTTTCCGCTGCCCGAGCTGCCCAGAAGCAGCGCCTTATAGTGAGTTGGCCTTGTCGTGGGCATCGCGGCAAGTGTCGCGTTCGAGCAGCAGCGGCAACAGCAGAGGCAGCAGCGCAGCTTGCCACACAACAAACCCATTACCACATGACGACGTGCAGGACCCTCGTCCCAGGTGAGTTACTTAATGGTTCACAGTTTTGATTTTAATTCGGACTAAAGTAATATTTACTTTATTTTCACGGCGCTACAGCTCCTATTTGTTTATTTACATGCGGCACAGACAGCCAGCTGACTTGTTTCTTCAGTTACCTGTTGTCAGGGGCAACGTAAAAACTTGCCTGTGTTGTGGCCGCTTTGTTGTTGTCGTCCTGCATCGAGACTGTTGCTATGGAAAGCGTTGCGGGCTAACATTTCGAAAAAGCTTCGTCCTTCGCCTGCAATGTTCTGCCACTTGCGAACGATAGATGGCGCTCATTTGGACTTGGGACGAATACCCAGTGGAAATATGGGGACATTTCCGTAGCTATTGAAGCTTTGGAAAACTGTTTCTCAACCAAACATATCCCAATTACTATTATTTATTATTTCCCGCTTTTCGAAATCGCCCGAGGCTGGGCAATGATTCAACGAATATTTGGAGGATAAACATGGAGGTAGGACAGTATTTTAATCCATTCACTTCCTACATACATCTGATTGCTATTAGTCGCGAACTATTAAGCATATATACGCATATATACGTAAAAGTTTAAATATCTGTCTACACGTTCCTTTAAAAGCCTAAAAAAAACTCTTCGAAACTGCTCAACTTATAGTTAAGAACCAACTTGTCCTTAAATAAATTCTGGTTCCAAATAGAAACCCTATATAGAAGCCTCTCTTATTACCTGGTTTGATTACCTGGCCCAACAAAATAGAATGTCCTATTAAATGGGCTTTTAACTGAATGATGTTTTTCGCCGATTTATAGTCACTAAAGAATGTTTTGAAAAGTCTGTGAAGCATTCAAAATTTTAATGCTCGGAAATTTCTTTTTGTTCTGTCTCGAAAATATAGCTGTATAGATGGAAATCATAATAAGTTCAATCATAACTATAAGCCCAAAGGTATTTGAATTAGTTTTGGCTTTTATAAGTAATTGAAAAGTTTCATCTTCGATTATCAGTTTTGGTTAACTGTCTTAACAAAATAGAATGCCCTATTAAATGGGCTATAAGATGAGTGAGGTTTTTCGCCGATCTAAAGTCAGTAAAGAAGGTTTTGAAAAGTCCTTGAAGCATTCCAAATTTTAATGCTCGAAAACTTTGTTTTGTTTTGTATCGAGAATAGATCTGTATAGATGGAAAACATAATAAGTTCAATCACAAAAACCCATAGCTATTTGAATTAGTTTTGACTTTGTTGCTATTTACATTTATTTATTTATAAAGCTTATCCTAGCGTTACAAGTACCACTCACTTTTACTTTTAAGTTATTGCGCTAGTCATTACATATTTATTTCAAATTTAATTCAATTTAATTACAAATTTGATTCAGTTTTAATTTACATTGAGCATTAGAATTATTCTTTTCTTTACCTTTAATTATTATAAACGTTTTATTTTTTTATATATATTATTTATTTTATAAAAATGAATGTTTACCCCGTTAAACGAAAGATGAATTAGACTTGTTAAGCTTCCAGGTGTGTAGAGAAGCACATAAAATGCAGCTTCAAAGAGATGAGATGCATTATATTTTGAAATTTCCGATTGCTTAGATAAGCACAAAAAATTAAGCTTGAAAGCGATGAGTTGGAGAAGGTGTGAGAAAATGTTGTGAAAATTCGACTCAAGTCGACCGGCAAGTGCTTTTCTTAGAACTCCATTCGGCTGGTTCGTAATCGTTGCAACGTTAAGTACAGTTGGTACTGTCGTGGCTTCTGGACTGGCTGCACTGCATCCGACTCAGCCAGTCTGTCCGTCAGTCCATCAGTCCGACAGCCACTTAATTTGAAGAGTATACTGGCTACAAAGGCTTTGCTAAACGTTCGGCGAACCCCCAGCGTCTTTTGTGCGCATACTGCCGGGTAGATCAGGACAGGACAGGACAGGGCGGGACAGTGAGAAGATGGCTGGCTTGTCTGTAGCCTTGAGGCACAGTCGGAGTCGTCGGTGGGTTGGTTGGCGGGTTGGTTGCTGGGTTGGCTGCTGGGTTGGCTGGTTGGTCGCAAAGCCCTTTGTGCTTGCCATGAATATCAAAATGTTGTTGAGCTTACTTATGGGCGGCACCTGACATTAGTTTGCATGCCGCTGACGTTGCCTTAGCCGTCCGTTTTAATATGCGCATTAATGCGACACAAAGCGGCGCGAGAAGCAACAACAGCACCGCGTATGCAAATATACATACGAGTCCTTGTAGTTGGGAGCAAAGAGTTGTTTCTTCTGCCATTGTGCCCATGACTCTGCTGCTGCTGATTGCATGCACATGTCTCTAACATTCCATTTGAGCTTGCATATTTCTGTTTTTTATATGCAAGGATGGATGTGTATCTGTGTGTGTGTCCAAGTAAAATATTTGTTCATCCACAATGGAGAGCACGGCGACTAAATGAAGCCCCATAATCGTCTCTAGCTGGCCACCAGGTCTCTGAGCGCGGACTCAGGCAATCCAACGTTTCAAATCCGTTTGCTTGTGTCTCCGCTTTATTCGATTATACAAGTATGAGCGCAGCAGCATCATTTCGTTTGCTTTCCGGTTGTTTTCCTTCAACGTCTTCGTGCACTGATGTCGGAGTACATTGGGACAGATGGACACGGCGTTGGGTCAAAACGGGCATGCTCTTAATGCTCGTATTTATAGTGGATCGAGTCCAATACTTTCCGGAGAATTTCAGAAAGGGGAAAGCGCTTTCCATTCGTAAAATCACTTCTTATTGGGACGACTATACTTGTACTTTTAAAATCCTATATACTTTTATATATTTTTAATTTTTATTCCTTAGATTTTATTTCCTTAAATATATGTATTTTGCAAATATTTTAGAAGTAAACGATGTTTAAATGTAAATATTTTTCAATTTATAATTCCTACACAATTATATTCAAATATTTTATAAATAAGCTATGTTTAAATGTAAATATTTTAGTATTTATATTTCGTGCAATATGATATGTATTATGGAAATATTTTAAAAGTAAACGATGTTTAAATGTAAATAATTTTCAATTTATATTTCGTATGATTTTAGAAATAAGCGATATTTTGGTATTTATATTTCCTACAATATGATATGTATTATGCAAATATTTTAGAAGTAAACGATGTTTAAATGTAAATAATTTTCAATTTATATTTCCTACAATATTATATTCAAATATTTTAGAAATAAGCTATGTTTAAATGTAAATATTTTAGTATTTATATTTCGTGCAATATGATATGTATTATGGAAATATTTTAAAAGTAAACGATGTTTAAATGTAAATAATTTTCAATTTATATTTCCTACAATATTATATTCAAATATTTTAGAAATAAGCTATGTTTAAATGTAAATATTTTAGTATTTATATTTCCTACAATATGATATGTATTATGCAAATATTTTAGAAGTAAACGATGTTTAAATGTAAATAATTTTCAATTTATATTTCCTACAATATTATATTCAAATATTTTAGAAATAAGCTATGTTTAAATGTAAATATTTTAGTATTTATATTTCGTGCAATATGATATGTATTATGAAAATATTATAGAAATAAGCGATGTTTAAATGTAAATAATTTTCAATTTATATTTCGTATGATTTTAGAAATAAGCGATGTTTAGCTGTAAATATTTCGGTATTTATATTTCCTACAATATGATATGTATTATGCAAATATTTTAAAAGAAAACGATGTTTTTTTTAGGACTAGTCCATCTTCTGTATTCCATGGTGCTGAAACTCCGACTGGCTGGAGACTCGTTCCTGTTCTCGTCTCCTGACTGTGCCACAAGGCACGCAAGACGTAGAGGATGCTGCTGCTGTTGATGCTAACAGCGACGTCATATTTCCTTCTCTAGATGTTTTTTGTGCCACCAGCGCCAACACCAACGCCATCGTCATCGCCGTCTCCGTCTCCGCCATCCCACTTGTCGTGTCGTTCACCGTTTCTCGCCATTGAAACGGCCGACGGGACGTGAAAATTGGAGCGGGCTCGTCTCTGCTCGCTTCTTGCTCGCTTGGATTGCTTGTGGCTTTTGCTTGTTGCGCCGCAGAAGCTGAGCGGCGGGAATGGCGGCTCTGGCGGCACTGGTGGCATCTAGCCTCGGATTTCATTTCCGGCATGTTGCGGTTACGTTAAGTAACGGAGATTGCATCGCTAATGATGCAATTGTGTGTGGGCGGAAATGAAAGCGGTTTCGCGTGACGACTGCGACAAGAACTTCTGCGGCCAAGCCAAAGGCAAAGGCAAAGGCAGAAGGAAAGCCTAAGCTGCCTTCAGCCGTGCTCGTAATCAAAAGCCGATGAGGTTGAAGAAAACTATAAATTAAAACTATGTACCTGCTAATTGCATTATGGGACTGGGATGTGACTGCACGAGAGTAAATGCTGGGATTGTGTTGCTTCTCAAAAATAAGTATGTATGTATGTCTATAGTGCGCCTTGATAAATCAGATGCGTAATTGCTTAATTGGAATAAAATCAACATTTATGCGCAACAATATCCTTTTGACTGCAACTGACAACTCATTGCGTCAATGTGTGTCGTCATTAATGTCACTTGTCATCGAACAATAGAAATGAGCGTCTTTTTATCTTCCTTCACTCACTCACTCACGCATTCATTCATTCATTCATTCAATTGAGTCGTCGAATGCCAGCAGGCATCGAATTTCGCCTCAATGTCATATTCAGTCTAAATTTTCTGCTCGTCAGAAGCGCTTCGTATGGAATACACTTTTATTTAGGCTTGTGGGCTTTTTTCAGGCTGAAAACTAAACAGACGACCGTCGCGCTCCTTCGCCATCCACAGTTGAAGAGCAGCAATATTTACAAACATTTTGCCACCAATAATAATGGGGTAAGTTGAATCAAAGACTGCTTCAGGACTAACAGAGCCTTTGACAAATATTCAAACACACTCATACCTGTCCATGGCAAAGAGCATTACTAACTTAGAATTCGAGTGACTGACGCCTCCACATACTAGGTGGCTGGATACCTTAGAACAAATGCTCTTTTGGCCATATCTATGGGTTTGTGGGCCTGCTTCTCTGCTTACTCAGCTTCATTCTCTTTTAGACTTTCGCTATCTTCCTTCCACAGTAGCAACAACAACAATGCATGCCAGCCGTCGCAGTCGCAGCAGCAGCCACAACAGTTGTCCATCGAACACGTTTCCAGGTGAGTGTCTGCATTAAAACCCATTGAGCAGCAAACAGACGCATAGGTGCACTCTTTTTTTTTCATATATAGCATATACTTGAGGATGGGTGCATCGCATAGGGTCTGTCTGTTTAATTCTCAATGTTGGATAACTAAGCGAGTTAATCCACCATCCACTCTCTCTGCAAATAGAACCGTAACGAATGTGCAGTGCACTCCGCCACGCAATCCGTCGAATCAGCAAGGCCGTGACTTGGCCAGTACGCCGGAGCATATGCGTCCCGGCTTCAGTGGCTCATGTGTGCCACAATACGATCCCGCCGAGTTTGGACTGACCGGCAACGAACAGTGGCAGCATCCGCAAATGTTTCGGGACATGACATGTGAGTAGAGTACATAGAGTAGAGTTCAGGAGACACGAGACATGGCGGAACTATGCATTGCTTTCAAACTCCTAGATGAAACCGATGCTGCCACCATGGACAGTTTTCGTCAGGGTCAGCCGTGTCGACCGGGATATGGAGCTCCAGCCGCGCCCAATCTGAGCGATCTTCCCGAAGAGTGTTTGGAGGACGTCTCAACGCCTGGCTTTCAAATGAGCATGCCATCTCACATGTCTGGCACGTGTGACGAAAATCTGGCCGATGTCTCGCCACCCTCGATGTGCCCGTGCACCCCTCAACAACAACAACAACAACAGCTGCCGGACATGCCGCCATCGTCGTCAAGAAGGGCAGATTGTTATCTGGGGGATGAGTCCCCACCAGCCATGTATCAAACGGCTAGTCAGTGTGCTGAAGAGGCTGGAGTGACTGGAGAGGAGGCCTCCAGCTACGTGGATAGTGTTTATCGGGATATTATGCAGCGATTTGATGAATTGCGGGAGCGCATTGCTCGCGGCGATAAGATCTTGCCATCCGAAGTGAGCCAAGCCTCGTCTAATATGCGCGCCAACGCATTGCCAATTGACACGGACGAGCTGTGCAACGCCCAAAAGGTGACAACAACAACAGTGAATGGGGAGAGCGATTGCTTGCGTGAAACTATTGTGGAATCATCTGGGGTGCAGAATGGCGAGGTCCACACTTCTAGGCGCAAGGTAGTCACATGTCGGGACAACTGCGGCAATGTCACTAGTCACGTGGAAGAGACGAGCACTGTATCCAATCCGCCTCGTGATCAACAACAACTGGCCGATGTGGAGCCGCCTTCTTTTCTAAATGGCTCGGATATGGGTGCACAGTCCATGGATTGTACACCTGCCATGGGGGCGGGGCGTTCACGCGGTGATCCACCAAGACGTCTCAACTTTTCGGTGCCACAATGCTCGAATGCGGAAAATCTCAATGAAATAACAATGCCCTCATTTCAAGATGCTTCGTTGCCGCCGGCCATGAGCACACGCATCGCGCCGCAAGGACTGCCCAGCGAGTGTCTCGCAGATGTGAGTGCACCATCCTTCGGAAACACGGCAGACCTACAAGCGATGGAAAGGCGTAATGCCAGTGATAATGTGTGTAATCTGGCTGTACACTCAATGTGCCCTAATAATGGGAACGAAGAGTTTATTGATGATGTTACGATGCCCTCGATCTGCGGCTTAGATGTGGAAAATAGTTCGTCGTTCGGTCGCAATCGACCGCCAACTAGAGCACAGCAGAGATCATTTCCCGCCCAGAATAATTGCAGTAACATTGCGTCCCCATTGGCCAGTTCAAGTCGTCGGCCCATGATGGCCAGTGAGGCCATGTGTAACAAGACAATGCCCTCATTTGGGAAGCCATCGAGCATCCCGAGAAGGCAAGCCCGACCTAGCATGCCCAGTGAGTGCTTAGATAATGTGAGTGCGCCAACTTTTGGTCGCAGTATGTCACGCGGAGGAACCCCAAGCCGACAGTGTAGATCGCAGAATATCGCTGATATATCAGCGCCATCGTTTGGTAGCTCAGGACGTGGAACAATGACTCAGGAGTGCCTAGAAAATGTAACTATGCCCTCGTACAACAACATGACGGGCACTCCCAGGAACAGGGGTAGAAACGCTGCCTGCCAGCAAAGATCGATGCCATCTGAAAACCTCTGTGACGTGTCCACACCTTCGTTTGGCAGCAGTGGGCGGTCTGCAATGCCGTCCCAGTGTCTAGATGACGTGACAATGCCATCAATGGGACAAGTGTCTGGTGTTTCTCGACGGCAACCACAACGCAGTCTACCCAGTGAGTGCTTAGACGATGTCAGTGCGCCATCATTTGGGCGCAGCATGTCGAACCGCGGAGCTTTGGGGCGTCAACAAAGAACTCCACTTCCACAAAATAGATGCGATACATCATCACCCTCATATGCTAGACCCGGACCCACGTCTATGCCCTATGAGTGCTTGGAAGATGTAAGCATGCCTTCGTATAGAAATTCATCGGCAGGTTTTCGGACCACAGCTTCCAGAAATTTAAATAGACAAATGCCTTTGCAAAATAAATGCCCAACACCAAATGATAATGCAGGGCGAAGCGAATTCCTTGATAATGTAACCATGCCGTCTTTTGCAAACGTATCTGGCTCATCCAGAAGATGCTCGGCTATGCCTTATGTGTCGAGAAGTACATCCCCAAGTCGCCCGAATAGATCTTTACCGACCCAGAATATTTGCGACATCTCCGAGCCTTCCTTTGCAAGTTCCAGACGCGGTACAAGGGCTTCTGAATGCTTGGAAAACAACACCATGCCTTCGTTTGGGAACTCAGGCGGTGTTTCCAGGCCGCAATCATATCCTAGTGAATGCCTAAATAATGTGAGTGCGCCGTCTTTCGGACGCAGCCAGTCAAGGGGAGCTCCTCAAAGATACCAGAATAGATCGCTGCCTTCACAGAATATCTGTGACATATCTGCGCCCTCCTTCGGCAACTCCAGCCGCGGTCAAGTGGCTGCTGAGTTGCTAGATAATGTAACCATGCCCTCATACTGCAACGATGTATCAACCGCTTCAAGAGGTAGAGGCCCGACACAGCAGAAATCTGCAAATAGGCGGAACACTTGCGATCTACATAAGTTTGTGGAAAGCCTTACTAGGTCGTCGATTGATAATTGTTCTGGTGCCTCTGGAGGGCGTCGACAATCAAGTGCAGCTTCTGCATGTCCCAATAATGTTAGTGCACCATCCTTTGGCAGGAGTATGCCACGAGGATCTACATCACAACGCCGGGGGCGGTCGCTGCCTTCTCGTCCCGTATGCGAGCAGACACCGCCTTCGTTTGACAACAGCGTACGTTCGAGAATGCCAAATGAATGCCTGGAAGATGTGTCCATGCCCTCTTATCGCAGTATGTCGGCTTCACCAAGACAACGAGCACCTTCTAGAAATACAAGTAAGTGCTTAGAGAATGTGAGTACTCCATCCTACGCCCGCAGTATGCCTAGTAGAGGACCGTGTCAAAATATCGCTGATATATCAGCACCGTCCTTCGGCAGCTCCGGTCGTGGGACGATGCGTAATGAGTGTTCAGATGTATCCGGTGCTTCAAGAAGCCGAGCTAGGAGTCCTCGGCGTCAGCAGCGCAGAAATGGTCCATCCCAAAACATCTGTGATACATCAGCTCCCTCATTCGCTAGCTCCAAGCGTGCTGGAAATACTCCAGGTTGCTTCGATCGTGAAATGCCTTCATATGCCAACTCGACACTGCCTAACGAGCGCTTGGATGATGTTAGCGCCCCTTCTTTCGGACGCTGCGTTTCACAGAATACTAGCAGATTCCAAAGGCAAAGATCGTTGCCATCGCAGCAATTGTGCGATGAGTCTGCACCCTCGTTTGCATCTACCGGTCCAAAGTATAACCAAATGCCGAATGAGTGCTTAGACGATATGACGATGCCTTCATATGGAGGTGTGTCTGGCGCTTCTTATGGACAGACCCAAACGTCGCAACCTTCTGAATGTTTGGCTGATGTGAGCGCCCCATCTTTTGCGCGCAGTATGCCGCAGAATTCTGGCAGATCCAGAAAACAACAGTCATTCCCATCGCAGCAATTGTGCAATGAGTCTGCGCCTTCATTCGGATCCACCGGTCCTCAGTACAAACAAATGCCAAATGAGTGCCTAGAGGACATGACCATGCCTTCATATGGCGGTGTTTCTGCTTACGGACAGACCCAAATGTCCCAACCATTTGAATGTTTAGAAGATGTGAGCGCCCCATCTTTTGCGCGCAGTATGCCACAGAATTCTGGCAGGTCGAGAAGGCAGCAATTGTCCGATGAATCTGCACCTTCATATGGATCCACCAGCCCGCAGTACAATGATTTGCCCGACGAGTGTTTACAGGATGTGTCCATGCCTTCATATGGCGGTGTTTCTGGTGCTTCTTATGGACAGGCACAAATGTCCCAACCCTGTGAATGTTTGGAAAATGTCAGCGCTCCATCTTTCGCACGCAGTATGCCGCAGGATGCTGGCAGATCCAGAAGGCAGCAAACGCTGCCATCGCAGCAATTGGGCGATGAGTCTGCACCATCGTTTGCATCCACCGGTCCTCAGTACAATCAAATGCCGAATGAGTGCTTGGAGGATATGACCATGCCCTCATATGGCGGGGCTTCTGGCACTTCTGCTTATGGACAGACCCAAATGTCCCAACCTTCTGAATGCTTGGACGATGTGAGCGCCCCGGCTTTTGCACGCAGTATGCCGCAGGATGTTGCCAGATCCAGAAGGCAGCAAACGCTGCCATCCCAGCAATTGTGTAATGAGTCTGCACCTTCATTTGAATCCAGCGGTCCTCAGTACAATCAAATGCCCGACGAGTGCTTACAGGATGTGTCTATGCCTTCTTATGGTGGAGTTAGCGAATCGTATGGACGGGCTCAAGTGTCTTTTCCTAATGAATGCTTAGATGAGGAGAGTGCGCCCTCTTTTGGGTATAGCAACACACAAGAGCCTAACAGATCCCAAATGCAACGAACTCTGCCAACGCAACAGTTGTGCGATGAGTCGGCACCAACATTTGCATCTAACGCTCCTAATGAGTGCTTGGAAGATGTTTCCATGCCTTCGTTCGAAGACGTCTGCAGTTCCTCCACACGACAAGCCCCGAAACAACAAAGATATCAGAGCGAGAGTGGACGCAGTGCGGCGCAGCAGTCCTTTCCCAGAGAGCAACTGTGTGATGTATCGGCACCGCCCTTTGATACAACAAGGAGGACGATGAATGAGGACTGTCTCGTCACCACTAAAACGTCGAGCTATAGAAGCAAAAGCAACCTACGCCGACCGCGGTCGGAGCCCAGCCAACTGCATCAAAGCGATTTTCTGGAGGATACTAGTGCGCCTAGCTTCGCTCGGAACTGTTCACAATCCAAAAATGTGGCTACCAAGCAAAGCGATTATTTGTCAGATGTCTCCATGCCTCCACTACATTGCTCCCAAGCTAACAGATCCGCTAATACAACAACTTTGCGGCGTGGACAAAGTTTTCCGTGCATACCAAGTCAACAGAACATTGGGGACATTTCGGCGCCATCTTTTGGCGATACATCGGGAGCACATGGACAGTCCGAGCAGTTGGCTAATGTATCGATGCCTATGTTCAGCGCTTTTGATGATGAACCACGGTCCGTGGCGCGACGTGGTCCCAATGTATCGTACCCATCTGAGCGTCTAGACAACGTGAGCGCACCGCCACTTGATTGCGGTTCTCCCTGCACATGCGCTCCGGAGAACACAGAAGCCATGCCTTCATTTGGAGCTCAAAATATGGGATACGGAAGACCGGAGCAGTCAGCAACTGGACGGGGTCAAAATATGTCATACCCGTCGGAACGTCTTGCGGATGTTAGCGCTCCATCGTATGGGTACAGTAGTGGATTTGGTCGAGGGAACCCAGGCCAGCAGTACGGAGGTAGTCCCTGCCCTCCAAATAATATGCATAATTCTCGCAACGAGTATCTGGCTGACGTAAGCCAACCCTCGTTTGACAGCTCTCATGAGAATACGAATACGCGTTGCGTGTCACGCAGTCAACCATGGGACCAAGCCGCCAGCATGCCGCCAAGTACAAAAATCTCACATCCACCGAGCAGACATCAGCTGGGCATGCCAAGCGACGATTTAAATGAGATGTCCGCTCCGTCGTCTATGGCTAGAGGTCGAGATCAGCGCGGACTCTCGATGCCGAGTGAGAATCTGTGCGATGTTTCGGCACCATCATTTGGCACCACTCTGCCGAGTGTGGCTCATCGCTGTGTTTGTGATGAGCCCGAAAAGAATCCATCTTCGTTTTCCCGATCCCAAATGCCACCTTCCCGTCAATCGTGTGACCCTCGATCGGGCTTGAGCAACGAAAATTATTATTCACCGGAGGAATCGAACGAATGCTTGGACGATGTTACACCACCATCAATGTGTTGCTACCAGACCCCTCAGGCTCCACAGTATTCGGCTGGGCAGAAGGCCGCGGACATTGGTCCCCCGTGCTACTACTCCGCCCAGCCTCCAGCTCCTTGCAATTCACGCAATGATACAGCCATGCCTTCGGCAGAAGGACCATTCGCCAACCAAACTTCTCAAGGAGTGTGCATTGAAAATGCAACTGATCCGGCGCTTGATGGCAGCGCCGAGACCAAGACGCCTGCTTCTGTGCATCATGTGACATCAGAGCAGACAGTTACTCGGCGCATCGCCAAACAAGCATCCGATGGCAACATGCCCGACAACGGAGGAGCCCCTGGCAATGGCAACCTAGTAGGCGAAGTCGAAGAAATAACTGTGAAGACTTCCGTGACATCTGTAACGCGTGTATATACCACGCCGATTCCAGATAGTCAGCGCCTAGAGGACATGTCTAGTCCTCAATTCGAGAGCACAGGAGTAAGTGGGGCTTCGGGCGCACAATCGAGCAACCCATATCTTACAAATATAACCCCGCCGACCTTTGGTCCCTCATTCGAATCAACACAGCAGACTGGCTACAATAATAATGCTGGCGATAATACGACATTCCACGGTTTTAGCTCCATGGAGAATTATGCGCCCTTCGACGAGCTTGTGAACTCGTCTCAGCCAGAGCCACGGGCGCAACAACGCAACAACACCGCAACGCAACGCTCGCCTAGACAGAAGACGCGTAATCAGGATCCTTGCCAGCAGACGCGCGACCAGCGGACACATCAGCAGACCCGTCAACAGGGCCAGACACGTCAACAAGGCTGTCAGCAGCCCCATGATCAACCGCCTGCCAGCAGCAGTGGCTGCGACGGCATTGGAGCACCTAGAACGCCCGGACAGCCATGCGGCATGGTTAGCACCAGTTTTCCTTACGGTCGACCGCGCTGTCTGCCACGTGACCAGCAGCCGCCGCGATGAGCAATATAAATGGACCAAATACCAATACTTCGTTGCTACCAATAAGCCAAGTGAATTGCAGAAAAATCGTGCACGCGGTCGACATAGTTAAGGGACCTATTTGAGGAGTAGGCCTGGAAAAATCTTCAAAATTGTATGAGACGAATAAATTGAGTTTGGCAGATAATCTAAAATAAAGAAACTTTCTTTTCTGTGTCCAAAAGGCTGCATCTTGATACTACATATGATACAACCTATAGACATACGACCTCTACTTATACTGTAACTTCTTTTTTGTAATATGATACGTACTAGTTTTAAGAATCTTCGCATCGACTAGCTGGTTTTCTGATATTGACACTACTTTGAATTCGTGTACCACCCGCCTTAATAGTCTGCTACGTAATAGGCAACTTATCCAGTCTGTCTTGTAGTCGCGACAAAATTGTGATGACTTCAATAATTGGCGATGCATAAATCGCTTCCCTGCCAGGTCGTGGGTGCCTTGACACGAAACGAAGAACCAGCAAAGAACCGTGCCAATGACAAAGCCATATACCCTGCAAAAAATTCGAATCAGCTAACATTTATACGCAAAACAAACATGGAAATATAGTATATAGTATTCCTATATTTTTTAAAAATACGATTAATAAACCACTTTTCAGATTTGCCAACCTTGCCAATGACAAAGCCAAAAATTCGAAAACAGCTAACATGGAAATATAAAATATATATTATTCCTATACTTTTTAAAAACTATGTTTTCAGATTATGTATTTGATTGAATAAGGTGTCATTGAGTCTCTTTTTCAAAAGAAGTTTGAATTAAATAAGTAACAAGTTTACAAAAGCATATTATTTGATCAATATACACCTAATTCTGTTTTTACACGGTCTTCTTTTTACACGATTTTGATATCACACGGTGTGAAAATAAAAAATTGCATATATATTTATTTAGTGATAAGGAACCAAGCACATATTTGTGCATATGAACAATGTCCTTTACACGGTTGTTTCTGGAACCAAGCTACCGTGTAAAAACAGAATTAGGTGTACTACTAAGCGAGGTGTCGCCTTATGGGTTACAAACGTTAATGGCAAAATCAAACGCTTCGTTTCGAAGGGTATGAGAAGAAGAGGAAGATGGAGAAAAAATACATAATAAAATTGAAAACAAATAAGTTCAGGAATCAGGAAGCAACACAGGAAACGCGTTCATTGTTCAATTTTCTTGTTGTTGCTGCTGTTATTGCTGTTGCTCTCCTGCTGCTGTTATCCTACAGGACGAAGGGTAAACGCCAGTGCCAGAGTGCGAGCGATGTGAGCTATTTAAAAACAATTTATTTTTAGCAGCAGCGCCGATGGCGGTAACGAATGTACCTGCCGGTCGGGCTTTCGATGGTGGGAGGACATTGCAGCATGGGCATGCCTTGCCCTCCATATACATATGTATATAGAATAGTACATATATATGTATAGATATATATGTGTGTGCGTGTGTCGATTTCGGTTTGAAAAATCGAGGCGAATGCGCGTTGAGTTGCGTCGCGTCGCGTCTGTCAGGCCAAAAGTGTATGCAAAACAAGTGCAGATGCTTCAGATTGGTTTTCCAATTACTCAACATTTCAATGCAAATATCAGCACCAGAGCCAGAGCCGGAGCCGGAGAGTCAGAATAGCACAGAGCATCGAGCCAAATGGCAACCAAAGACGGCTGATGGTGGCGTAACGGTTAACGCCAACGCTAAAGACACCAGTGAGGAATTGGAAGGACCAAACAATACTCTACCATGGTCTAGACGGAGATTCTAATTGCTTAAATATCCAAATGCATTCTCAAAATTGTATTTTCTTTTTTACTATTCCATTATTTCCAATATACAGCCCAGATTAATATTGACAGTCATCGAAATTTGGAGTAATGGGCATAGCTTGCCGGGCTGGCTAATAAACCTTCCCTCAATGGGTCAGTGGTTCTCCACATTTTAGCTTTTAATTATATTTTGTCTTTTAATATTTAAGTATTTAAATTTGTTACTTTTATCTCATCATACTTCGTTCTCTTTTATTAAAATTAATACTTTGCAGAGTCCACCATTTTACATCCGCAGTATTTTCATTTAAAACAAAAACTAGAGTGTTCTTTTAAATGACTATCTTCTACCTCTTGTGACAGAATTTGCATTTTAAAATGAAAAAGGCTCTTATTTCTTTTCTTATTTTTGGCTATTGGTTGGGACTTGAAACACAAATATTAACTTGAACTGCAATGGCAAGTATGTATTTGAATTTGAATAGCATCATTATTCTTTTTTATTTTTTATTGCTATTTCTTCATCTCCATTTCTTTTTCGTTAGGTCTTTTAATGTCTCTGACTTCTCTCTGCTGTGAATCGGGGAAAAGCTGAGTCGGGTTCGATATTTTTTAATTTCATTTTTCAATCCTTAAAGTTTTAATTATTAAAAAGTATTGACGTTTTCAGAAGCTATATTTTTTAAAATCTTTTTTCAGAAGCCTGGTTTTAATATACTTATGACCTATGATCAGCCTAAGTGACCCTTTAGGGAGATTTGATTCACATTCTGTATATTTCAGCCCTGTACCTGAGAGTTAACAGACAAATTCGCTGATTCGATACAGCTGTCTCTCTGTATGAACGCAAAGATGAAGCAGAATCTTAAGTAATAACGTTTTTATTTGAATATAAGATGAAACCTACACGATGCCAGTTACTGTTACTGTTCGCTTAAGCGAGAATAGTTTTGATTTTGTCAGGCTGCGATTCAAAGTTCGCCCATTGTACGACGCCTACGTGCATGTAAAATTGTGCGAGTGCTGGAAACATCCGAATATACTTGTATGTATGTGCGAGTATGTGTGCATGGGGCTAGCTCCTGGACAGTAGCTTGGCAGCAGTGAAGTAGAGAAGCATCAGGAGTCGCAAAAGCAAAGCGAACCAAAAAAAAAAAAAGAAAGAAAAAAAAATGGCTCAAGCAGCAGCCACAGCAGAAGCAAAATATTTCTTCGATTTTTTGCCAAAGATAAAATTTCAATCACGTTTCTTCACTTTCGCTTAAAATAGCTTCGAGCGCAGCAGTGACTGCCGGAGCCAGAGCTGGAGCAGATGCCTGAGCCCAAGGTGTGGCGACCCCGCCACGCACATGTCCTAACTAGGACATGCACACACATGTGTTTAAGAGTGTGTGTGTGGTTATGTAAAACACCAATATAGGCTGTCCAATGCTGTGACTCCAGTTGCCTGCGTCTAATGAAGCTTTACGAATTGCAATGCCAAAAAAAGAAATAATTCTCGGGGTGCAACCCGGAGGCTGGGGATGGAAGAAATGTAAGTCCTGAATTTACTGTTGAAAGTGGTATTAAAGACGATTCCAATGGGCCAGCTGGACTACCATTTTCATGCCCTAATGAGCCATTGGGAGAGTTGTTGAGAAACTCTTGACTACATCTGGGAAAGGAACATGGAAAACATCATTTCGTGCCAGAAATTTAGGACAGAACTCTCTCTATAAATAGGCTTATCCATATTACCTTACTTTGGCTCATCTTCTAAAATTGTCAAATTTGCATAAAAGCTTGCTGGACTCTCAATAAAATTTTTCTTTATCTCTTTTTGTTCCTTAAATATTGTTATTAGCTCTTAATTAGAATTTAGTTTTCTCCTCTACTTACTATTTTTTGTCAGATCTATAACGTCGCTTATAACATTTGGATGTGAACTTATATTAAATTTTTATATTTTTTCTCTCCTCCTTTTCATTTTTGTTAGGTCTAACAATGTATCTGACTAATCTCTGCTGTGAATCGGGGCATAGCTGGCCGTTTGGCAAATAAAATTCCCCCACCGAGTCGGATTCGTCATTAGACATTTTTGTTATTTCTAAAGGCTTTGTTTTTCTTTAGTTTCATCTAGTATAAGTTCTGAATTGTGTTGATTTATTTTTCTCACATCCACAGCTCTTTTTGTCCATAAATAAATAAAAAAATATATATGTATATTATTATATTACGTACAGACGAGTCATCTGAGTCTACCTTCTATCTAAAAGGGTATGAAGAATCCCTGGAAGTCAAAAATTACTTATGTATTTCAGGTTCCTTTGAAACTACAGCGTTCATAAACGCCTGACTAACATCGCTGTTCTATTAGCCATAGCTTTAGGTCCTTTTCAATTTGTACAAATAATTAGAAATCGGATAACTTAATTATACACTACTTTTAAAATGCATAGTTCCGAACAAAGACATGAAAAGTGTTATACATCCTCATTGTAGAATGTTTGTCGCTGCGCATGCGCGTCCTTGATCATAAAATTAGGTATCCTTAGAAGGCTTGCCATCGCAAGCCACAATTTTGATTCTGTCGACGTTTACGACTTGCTTGCCCATGTGGAAGTCCACGTCGCTGAGGACGAAAGTCCAGACATCGTCGCAAAATTGATAGGTCTCCAGTCTGCCGGCCTTGAATTTGATTCGCGTTTTTGTCTCTTGGCCGATGACAGTATTGATGCTCTTATCGAATTGTTGCATCACTTTTAAAGCCAAATCCGCTGTAACTTCGCCAGCCTATAATTATGGTTTTACGCTTAAAAGTATTCTTGCATTGCACCTGTTGTGAGTGTACATTTCTAAAGCATACCTGCAAAAGATCGTCTAGAGTCTCCCGCAATGTGATGCCAAGAGTGCTGCAGCGATATAATTGATAAGTCATATTTATTTAGTTCTGAACAACTTTTCCCGGTGCTCGGTTCGCCACGGTTTTCCACGAAAGAGCACGTGTAGACTTGAGCTTCGACACCTTAATGGCGGTCGACAGATGCAGGGCTGCCAACTTTTTAGAGGGAAAAAAGCTGCATTTCGGTATTTTTGTATTCTTTCGGCATGAATGCATTAGGGATTTAAAAAAACATTGATGTATGAGCATCAACGATGTTTTTACCACGATGCAGCGATGTTTTCCGATCGTTTTTTTTTACTAACGATGCATCGTCGATCCATCGATGTTTGTCCAAACATCGAACATTGTGTATGTTTTGTTGGGCGGTCACATTTCTTTGTTGTTTGGTTTACGGAAGAAGGTATATTTGTATTATAAATTATTTGATGTTTTCATTAAAATGTGTATTTTGTAATATAAATTTTAGATTTTAATCATGCCTTTTAAGGCGTAGCTGCAACGCGTCATTGTTTTTAATCAGTTTCTTTCTGTAAGCCATACAAGTTCATCAGAAGTCAATATTAGGAGTACTTTATTGATTGACAACATTAAGTAAAATACTATGACAGTCTCTCTTGATATATAAACATTTTTTATTTCAAACCTCTCTGTTGATTTTCTCCCTAATATTAGCTTCTTTAATTTTTTAAAACAGCGATGCATACATGTTTTTTTTGCGATGCATCGACCATGCATCGATTTTTTATAAAGAGACATCGATGCACATCAACATTGTTGTTTTTCCTTCGACTTACTACATCCCTAGAATGCATTCGCACCTCTACAAATAACAACGCAATTTGTTCCTACAATATGATTTTAACAGACCGATTTGACGGGGAAAACCCGAATTGGCAGCCCTGTGCTGGTTTATAATCGAATCCGAGACATCGTTCAGTGCTGGAAAGCGTGTGAAAGGATTCACGGATGATTCAAAGAGTTGAGCTTGTTTTCAATTAAATTTGATTTCACTTGTAACTACCGAGTTTTAGACTGCGAGGTGTAATGTTTTCAGTAAAATGCGTACAATATTCTTAGTTCTAATGGTCACTGTTTTCGGCCACGTGCTACTTTCAAAGGTCTTTGAGCTTCGGCCATCAATAGGCTTTTTACTGTACCATTGAATTGTTTATCTGAAATCACGATACAAATGCTCAATGCTTTGAACTCAAAGAGGGTCCAGTACATCCAAGAGATGTCCTTGTGGAATGACATGCTAACATTGGCACTATTAAGCCGCCTACGGCCATCCACACGAACATTTCTGAGTACGGCACCGTACACACCTGCTTTAGCTTTTGAATACTCCGGTGTCCTTGTCCTGCTCGGCAGCAGCAAATGACAGGACCCGTGCCCAACGTCTTTCTCACATCAGTTGACCCCCATGCTCGCATTGGGCTGAATTTACGTTTTGTATTTAAGCATCACTCGAAGTTTGAAATTGCAACTGCAATTTTAATTTCTGTATTTTTTTGTTGTTGTTTGAGGAGCGCTTAGTCCTTTTTTTCATAATATTTTTCATGCATATTTCTAAAAGTGCTTTTCAGCCCAATTGAGGCTGCTCCTGGCCGCTACATTAGGAAAGTTGATGTGACGCTCTGAGCGGCTTATTGTTTTTGTGTGGAGCGTAAAGTGGAAAAATACCAACACACCATGCACTCGGAAAAATCTGAAATAATTCTCCGTGACTGAACCTGAACTGGGTTGCAATCATTCATTATAGCTGGCCGGACTGGCTTAAAACTTTCCCCCACCGGGTTGGAGATTTCCCTCTTTCTCCTTTTATTTTTCTTGTTCCATCTTTCTCTTTCCCTGTTTCTCTCTTCCCCTTTCTCTTCCTCTTCCTTTCTCTCCCTCTTTACCTCTGTCTCTTTCTACTCCTTACTTTTTCTAATTAGCTCCTAAGTAGAATTAATTTTCCTCTTCTACATACTATTTGTTTAGATTGTCAGGTCTATAATGTCTCTGACCACATATGGCTGTGAATCGGGGCATAGCTGGCCAACTGACAAATAAAATTCCCCCAACGTGTCGGGGGCATTTATAGACGTTATTGTACAGCTTTTTTGTAGGCTTTCTTATCTTTTAAGTTGAGACTTTCTTATATTAATCATATTTCAATTTTTAATTTTAAATCCTAATATATAAGGAACTAACCAGCTTCTCTTCTTACCAATTGAGCTCAGGAACAGCTTTTGAGCTTTTAGTGAGATATTTATTTTGACATATTTTTGTATATATCATTATTTTTTACTACTCATCTTAAGAGAATACGTGCATTTCCTCTTTTATAAAAAGTCGACCTTGAAAGTAAAAAAAAAAATTGTTTAATTAATTTTAATTGTTAGGTCTTGTATGCGATTTTTGAAGTTTTCTTTATGTTATAGTATATCGATTATTATTGATGTGAGAGCAGAAACGTTTAGACTAAGAGAAATTAAACAAGACTTTTAAATACCAAATGTGGCCAAGATATGTATCTTAATAAGCAAAAAAGTTGTACTACTTAAGGGAGATCGGTCTTATCAGTCATATTTAAATATAATATACTTGAATGGTTTGTAAAAAACGTTCACTGTATATGGAAAAGACAAGCATCGTACCAAGTTTGGTGTCTCCAGCTATAATTGTTGAAAAGTTCTCGGTGCTCGTTTTTATCGATGAGCCTCGTCTTATACCATAGGAACCTAAAAAAAGGCCTCTGCCTTCGCGCCCAGGCCCATCTTTATTTTAGTTTCTATTTACAAAAATGTCAGTCCCTGTTTAAATATTATATTTTGATGGCAATATTTAAATTAGGAAATGTTATGAGATCCAGAAATTGAAAAAGAGTTCCTAAACGAGTCGTCTAAAAATAAAAAAAATTATATCATCTATTGATGAATAATAACTCCTGTTTGCCAAAATCGAACAGCCTGTTTATTTGATGCGCTTTTCACTGAGCAGGGGAAAGGGCTGATTGTTTTTGTAGTGAAATTTATCTCTAAAATACAAGTAATTAAATTTTTCAGAGCTTAGATCGTGTTGCGATGCTGTTTTTTTGAGTGTACACGTAGACATTTGCAATCATTGGCTCGCACAAACAGTCACACCCCCGCAAATGCATACACCCATACAAATGTACATACATATATATGTATGTATGTGTAGCATGTAAGTATATAAACACGTAGAGGCCGCACTCATTGCAGTGGTCGGTGGCGATGGCAGCTGTGGTCGTCTGTTTGTTGCAGCCCAGCCCCGATCCGACCGTGTTAGGCCGCTGCTGCTGTTGTTGGCCGCGAGTTGCGGGCTCTGTTGGTCCCGGCCAGTTAATTGTAATGCTGAAAAATGCTGTCGAAGTTATGCGAGTGCGAAAATGTCCACGGGCATGCGATGCATGCTAGGCACGCGGACGGGAGGTCGACTGGCCGGCTGGGTGGGTGGCTGGTTCGCCCGTTCGCCCGTTCCCCCGATCGACTCCCAACCCTAGATGGGCTGCCATGCAACCACTTCATGGCCCTTCTAAGCCTTGTACACTGAGTGCTTGCGGCTTGTTTCAAATTGCAAAATTTTTTGCCTGGACAGCTTGTAAAATGTGCATTGGGTGGATTGTCGTGGTGGTGAAGGGGGTGAAGGAGGTGGAGACTGCAGCGGGGGCGGCGGCGGCGGGGTATTTGTTGCAAAAGCCGAGGCGTGCTCAGCGCATGAAGCGCTGCGGTTTTTACGCCCTGGTCGTGTGTTTTATAAACCACGTCGATGCATGTGTGCAGCTCTAAGCAGATGGCAATTGCTTTGACATAGACATTTCACTGCCAGATTTCCGAGATGAAACAAAAGTGCGGTCGCCGGGTGCGGGGGGCAAGTGCTGGGGGAGCAAATGCGAGAAATATGACGACCGTTCTACTTGTATGCCATGAGGCAATGGAAGGCCTCTGCATTTTCGATTAAGCCCAGTAACGGAGCGAAATGTTACTACATTTTAAGGAAATTCGCATCGAAACCAAGTACACCTAATTCTGTTTTTACACGGTAGATTAACTAATATACCGTGTAAAAACAGAATTAGGTGTACTTGGAACAACTGTGTAAAAAAAGACATTGATCATATGCAAAAATAAGTGGTTGGTTGGTTCCTTATCTCTTAAGAAATATATGTGAATGCAATTTTTAATTTTCAAACCGTGTGATATCAAAATCGTGTAAAAAAAATACCGTGTTAAAAAAGAATTTGGTATATTCATGTATGTATGTACATAGTTGTTTAAAATAGAGTGAGGTTATTTAACCAAATTGTTTTCGAACGAAGCGGTCGTAAGCACAAATGATTAGTGTAAAACAAGAGAGAACGCTACAGTCGAGCAAGCCCGACAGTGTAATACCCTGAAACTTCCGTCACTGAGTTATATGCGCCCATAGCAGCAGCAAAAAGAGGAAGAAGAAGAGCGAACTTGTTGCTGCAGTTTGGGGGGGGGGGGGGGGGGGTTTGTACTAGCGAGAATTTGTTTCGCTAATAACTTTTAATTAGAATTAGAATTGACAGAATTGAATAAAATTTTAAACAACAGTAGATAGTTATAAATAAATTATGTGTGCAAAGTTTGGTTTAGGTAGCATTTGAAATGTGGACGCTATTGACGAAATTCTGTAGCGGGGAAAGGGGGGGGGGGGGGGGGGGGGGGGGGGGGGGGGAAATTCCAAAAATAAAATAACCTCGTCCTTTCTCGGACCTAGGAGAATCTGGATGCCAACTTTGGTTATTCTAGCTTTTATAGTTTCTGAGATCCTTGCGTTCATCCAGACGGACGGACAGACGGACAGACGGACGGACGGACGGACATGTCTAGATCGATTTCTCTCTTCATGCTTATTCAGAATATATATACTTTATGGGGTCGAAGATGCTTCCTTCTGCATGTTACATACTTTGCACAAGCCTAATATACCCTTTTTACCCTTCGGGTACAGGGTATAAAAAGCATTGTTCGACCTAAAATTTGTTGACCATAGTATGT